AAAATTCCTTCAACTTAAATAGGGAAAAATGAAGCTTGAGGATTATGAGAGAAAATTCGAACAACTCTTAAGGTATGCACTGCACCTAGTGGATACTGAAACAAAGAAAGCAAGGAGGTTCGAACTGGGATTGCGTCCTGAGATTGGTGGAATACTGGCATCCCACCAATTCACCACCTATAGCCGAGTATTGCAGACTGTCCAAGTAATCTCAAATAAGTTGGAAATTGATTAAAATTCCCAACAACAGGCCGAACTTTCAAGAAAGAGGAAATGGAATGGGTCCAACGAGGAGAAACGAGAATGATAAAACAAGAAGGCTAACTTCGGATCAGGTTTTGGACAAGTCGTTCCACCTTGTCCAAAGTGCAAAAAAAATGCATAAGGGTGAATATTTGTTTGGGAAGCATGTATGCTATAGATGCGGAAAAACAGGGCATATTTTCAAAAACTGCAAAGAGAACCTTTCGAAGAAGAATGACAAGCCAGAAAGGAAGGGAAATGCCAGAATTTTTACTTTAGCCCAAGGACAGGCCACGGAAGACCCAAACGCAAGTAAATTTCAAGGACGAAATTCTCTTAAGGAAGGTAGATTGTAACAACCCAAAAAAATTTATAGATAAAAATTCATTTATTTTGTATATTATATAAATTCCTAATTTATTTGGGTCAAATAAATTAGATTTTGATCGAGCAATTATAAGTAAATCAACTTTGTACTCGTTGGATAGCTCGTAATTAATTATAAGTTTTTGACACGAGAAAAAATTATTTTGAATAAGAACACATAACATTATATCCAATTGAAAAAAAATAGTATAAATATAATTTTAGCCCTCGTTTGGTCCCCTTTAAAACTCTTCAATTTAATTTAATTTTTTTCTATTCTACTTTCAACCACACAATCTTCAATAAAATAATATTACACTCAAATCGAAAACTTTTGAACCGTACAGTTTTTAAAAAAATACTATTCTCCCATTATAAATTCAAATAATGGGGGCCAAACATACTCTTATATAGATTATAAATCAATTCATTTTTCTCTCTCAAAAAAATAAGTGTGAGGTGAGATTTTTATCATTATTTATTAGTTTTGAATTAGAGATTCCTAGTATGGCACATGTTTTCACTATTCTACTATTCTGGTTACAACAAAATTCACCATACACATATACGGTTGGATAGAGATAGTGGATATCTTGTAATTGAATAAGATAATAATAAAATACATTGTGAGTAGACATTGTTTGCAATATTTGGCCCTTTCAAATCAAATTTCGGTTTAATTTACTCTAGCCTACACCTATATATTTATATATATATATATAGGTATGATGAAAAGTTTGACTCACACTAATTCACACATAGGGTAAGTCAAGAGAGAGAGGGAGAAGAAAGAAAGAAAGATAAAGAAAGGAAGAGAGAGAGTAGCACTGGAAATAAAGTTTGCATACATTGAATTTTTTGATCGCGTAAAAAGATTTTGAACATGCTTCAGATTTTTCTAACAATGTAAGATACTTTATGTGCAAGTATTTTTGTTTCCTTATGCATTTATATTCAATAAAAAATGCATGGATTGTCAGTAGACATTCATTTTTTTTAAGAGATATAAAATCCTACGAGATTATAAGATGATCTAAGATGTGTGTGTCGCTTAGTCACCAATATACTTCATAAGATCAGATGGTATGAATTGTAATTTTTATTGTTATATATATGTATATGGAAACTGCACGTATCTTACTGGGTATTTTCAAATACTCACTCTTCCAATTTTTACATGTTAGTTCGGGTCGATTGAAATTGTGGAAGGGCGATTATGCGGGCTGACAAGTAGATCAAATGAAAAGAAAAAGAAATAAGTTTATCGTCTTTAAATTTACCAATTAGTTTAATTTTGTTGAAACGTGTTATTTGAATTAGTTATGAGTTTATGTTATGTTTAGATAAAATTTTCATAATTTAAATTTAGATTTATAAATGTTGCAGTTATTTGTTTAATAAAGAATTTTATTTTTATAGTTCCGCACTTACAATAAAGAAAAATGAGTTTTTCGTAATGTTCCGAAATTTATAGAAAATTTGGGCGTTACAAAGATCCTAGACTTTCTGTGATAATATTTGCTACGAATAAAGTTTCAGATTAATAATTTTTTTGGAGCAAACTAAAGTAAGAATATGAAATTAAATGCGTTTCGTAATATCATACAAATGTAAACTTGTGTAATTGTTATGTTTAGATATTATAAACAATTGCTTTATTATTGTGGTTGGTTATTCTCTTTGTTTAATCAATATCCTCTTTTTTTCAGATATGAAGATCACGAGGTTTTGTTGGACATCATTATATTTTTTGGACCTTATATCTTGTTTAGTAAACTTGTATTGTAACGTTACTGTATCGTCATTAGCCTAAAAAAGCTAAACAAAAAAAAAACTATGTTTTAGTTTATTATGATTTCACTTTGATTTAGTTGGTATTTAAATTTATAATACATATATTTAGCTCCTGTTGAGCCATAATATTTTTCATATCATTATAATGAGAAAATTGACCGTTGGAGAGAATGTTAGGTGCCACACATGAAACAACAGATCAACAAAGGCATCTGGACTTGTAGGATAATGGTCCAAATTTTTATTTTTTGGTCTCAAAAATTTGGTTCAAACAAGGCTTAGTTTGTTTTAGATTTATCGCTAATAAGATATAAATATATATTGAATTCAATAAATTGATGACATAAAAGTTGACAAACCAAAAAATATATGGCAACACCGACAGTTTAAAATCGGACCAAATTATTAGGTTTAGGTTTGAATCTTTTTTTTCAAACCGTTCAAAATAATATGGTTTTGGTTTGACTTTTTCTCAAACCGGTTTAAATGGTTTGATTTGAAAATTTGTCAAAAATCGGTAATGTCGGACCGCTTACACCCCTAGCCCGAACATGCAGCAATTGTCCCTGTAATTGAATAATAATGTGTTAGTTTGGTACCGTATAGCTAAAAACTAAGTTTTAAAATTAGAAAAATTACAAATAATTATGATATGAGTTGTCTCGCCACATCGTGTCTCACATGATGATTAGTATGTTCTGCACAGTTACTCGCTCATTTAGCCATAATAGGAACGATCAAAGCCACTGGCTCCAGGTTTTGCGCGAGCTAACCCTGTGTTAGACATGAATGTTCGGGGTCGTACACATATATTGTTGAGTCAGCGAAGACAATCTCCACGACAAAGCAATAATGATTTACGATCACTGGAATATACATATGCGTACAGCTCTCCCATTCTGACACTCGACGACATCCTTATAACCCATTTAAGCATATATTTGGGCAGCGTATACTCATTACACATACATCACTTTGACGAGCCTCTTCTTCTTCGCCTCAGCAGTGAAGGAAGAAACGATAGACTATGACAACAATATTGACCTCTTGCCAACCACCTGCTCCAGAACGTCAACAGCACGCTTCTTACCCTCAATCACGATGAACATCCTCCCTCCTTCGTCCTAGGGACTGCTACCTCTCTAACCCGAGGACCACCACCACTTCGGGGCTCGCCACCTCTTCCGCCCTTTCCTACTACGCTACCACTCTAGATCTCCATCGAGGCCACCCACTCTTGCTCCACAGGTAACAAAAAATGATTAAAATGCATCATCTAGCCACAATTGTGGGTGATCCCTTTATTCATCACCCTTTCTGTTACATTCCTCATTACCCTCTACCCTCTTCGGCAATCCATCATTTGGCTGTTATATCACTTCAAAGTGCTGTGACCTCTTAATGATGGTCTACGAAGTGGCCACATAGCAATTCAACATTATTGGATAAATAGTCGACCCTTCTTATCAATTTTCGTTGTAATGCCAAGACAATTCATAAGTGTCGTACTTACGAATGGACCCCTTGGATTTTGAGTGTGATATGGTGAAAACGTATACGGTGTCTTTAAAATATCTCCGGCCCTATGGATAGTTGTTGAAGATATCAATATCGTCGACGATCTTCAGATGGAAAAGATCGATCACAGTCTTCTTGTAATGACATCGCACCATGTTCTCAAGGATATAAACCAGTTCTAACTTAAGCCTGTCTAACATCTAGTCATGCTTCTTGATTGCTCCAATCAGTCGCGTTAGAAGCACCATCCCTTGACCCTAGAAATAAGTATCGTGCAGCCTATTGCTTCTTTGGATACTATCACGAGCTGCTTCATCGTTCGTAATCCTTAGTCCAGTCATTGGGACAAGCTCAAATAAGGAGAAAGTAACAACCTCGCTCCCAAGGTCGAAGTGGAAGACATCGCCGTCGATTGGCATGAGCAACTGACATAGTACCTCTCTCAACTGATACAAGGACCACAGGAGGGCTGGCAGCGTAGAATATCAGGGTGCTGATCATCCAGTAGCACCAGTACGGTAGTGAATCTATCAAAGCTATTGTTTCAAGTTGCTTTCCCCGACATCCGTCTCAATTCCGCATCTAAATGGTATTACATCTTATAAAAATTCAAATATTAGATCATTGAACAAGAGATAAAGAAATAAAACACAAAAAAAAAATTAAACGAACCGAATTATAACTACTTTACGCAAGACACGGAATCATTTTACATCGATGCTGATAGAAAACTAAATGATTTAATAAATCAAATGAGAAGAATTAAAAAAAAAAAAAGAACTGCAGACAAAAAAAATGAAAAAAGTTATTATAAAGTTTTTTTTTAATTAAAATTGAAAAGAAAAAGAGGAAAGAGAAAAGGTCTACTGTTGAAACCGATAGCATACTGTCTGAAATTTTCATTTTCCCCCTTTTTCTCTACGCTCTTTCTTTGATGACTCACTGCTCTTTTACAGGGGACCCACATGTGTTAAAAAAAAATTACGTGGGATCCACGTATGTGTACGACCTGTTTGATTGGAGATGAGAGAAAATTAACTTTAATTTATATATCTATTTTAATTTTAGATTATTTTTTTTAAATAGCCGGTGTGGAAATATGGCCGGATCCACCGCCATTTCCATCTATTTCCTCCCAAAAACAAATACATTTTCCCCAATCCTTCAGAACACGGAGACCCATATAAACAGCGTATACCTACAGATTCTTCTATATACTCTCTGTGCGCTTGGGCCGCAATTATGGAGAACCACGATAAAAAAGATTATGGTGACATTGGAAGCGAGGATTTTCCTGATGAGTTTCAGTGTTGTGTATGCCTGTAAGTATTTATGATGATTATTTTCCACAATCAAATTATGCATATAAAAGCTTATGCGAATGATTTTCTGTTGGTTCGTTTGTTATCAATTAAGTTATACAGGTAATATAGAATTATAAGAACCGGAAGTGGCAGCATGCTAATTAGGGTTTGGGAATATTAATGAAATAGTCTGTTGAGCATAGTTTTTTCTTTTTCTTTTATAATGAAAATCCAGAAAAAATTATGAATTTTAAGCAATTTGAAGTGTATTTTGGACTTTAATCTAATCTTTGCTAATTTAATGCTCTTTGTTTTTTATGTGTGACCTTTTGAAAACAATTACTTTGTTGATTATGCAGGGACATTATGTACAAACCAGTTGTATTAGGTAAAAACCCTGTTCCAAATACTATTGAATTAATAGATATTCTGTTGTTGAAAATATTTAGTTCCTTTCCTCTGTATGCAGCTTGTGGTCACATATCGTGCTTCTGGTGTGTTTTCAAAGCTATGGACTTTTATCAGGAGTCACGCTGTCCAATTTGTAGCAACCCATTTAATCATTTTCCCAGTATCTGTAGATTGCTGCACTTCTTACTTTTGAAATTATATCCTTTAGCATACAAAAGAAAGGAAAGACAAGTTGCAGGTATGTTAGCCGAAACACCTAATTGCGCCATGTCTTAGTCCTAATATTTTATGAATTTACCCATACCATGTTTATCTATATTTTGGAGCTCTGGATCACCACCTTTTAGTCCTAATGGAGTAACTGACTGTATTGCATCCACTATAAGCAAAGCATGCACCAGCTCAATACGTTGACAGACTTGAAAATTTTCAGTAGAAGTAAACGCACCATCACTCATCTGCTTTCTAGATGGATTGGTTTTTAATTTCCCATCTTAGTGTGATTTAGAGATAAGGATATCCCCCTCGAAAGAATGGAAGCAAAAAAATAGAAATTAACCTACCTTTAACTTTTCTGATAGATGTTCATGAAAATATCTTTCGAACTAAAACTACCGCGACTGTACGATTCGTTAATAAGTAGTAAAATGGATTTTGAGTTCAAGTATCGTTCCCACAGAAATTATATCAGTTCAAATTCAAATTAACTTAGCCTTAATCGAAATAATTGAAATTCATGATTGATGCAACACCAACTCGAGCAATTAATTGAATATTAGAACGAATCTATGGGAATGGGGGAATTGAAGGGGAGAATGGGGAAGAAGAAGATTCCAGAGTAGAAGAAGAAAATAGGAAGAGAGAAGAAGAACGGGGAAGAGGGGGGATTTCGCCACAAGCCACCAAAATATTATTCATTCATTAACTACTGAAATTATATCGCAATTAGGTTTAAATAGTAAAGACTAAAACCCTAACTAGAATGAACTTCAACCAATACAAGCCCAATTACATAAATAAAGTCCACAAAATAAAATAAAGTCCAACTAGAAATAAAATAGATGGATGTCCTCATCAATGATTTTTCCTATAAATTAAATAATCTAATTATGAATGCAAGACCTAACTTAACTAAAATAAATGCGAGATTATAAATAAATGCAAATTTTATAAAAATATGATGATGAAACGCGTACTAGGATCACAAATCCCCTTTAACCTCGAAATTTATAAATTTGATGACACGACTCAATTATGAAAACTAATATTCCTAATTTGTTTAACAATCTCTCTCAAGTAGAATTAAACATATTTTTGCATGTGACGAGACTATATTTTTATGATGGATGCGAACATATAAAAATGTGTTAAAGATTCATGAATACTTTAAAGATCACGTAAAACATAGTGGAATATTTTTATCTCCTGTTGGACTCTCCAACAATTGACACTGTCTAACTTATTTTCAATCTTTTATAAGTAAATCAAGCTACAAAACTCATACAACTATTGTGCAATTAACTATAGAGAAATAAATCAATTTCAATTATTCAATAATTGAAAACGTGTTTTAAATGTCAAAAATAAATAAAATCAAATGTTAAAGGTTCATAATACAAGGTTCATCGCAATCCTAGCACAAAAATTATTTAGCCTAGCATAATGTTGGAATTAAACAAATAAAGGATAAATGACATTACGAAAAATTAACGGAGCGTGATTAATTCCGTCGCAATTGTTGATAACTTGACGACATAAAAATTTAGTAACATGGCCTAAATAAGTGCACAAATTGCACTTATCAATAGACCAATCATTCCCTGAAAGAAATAATGAAAAAGGGAGGGAAGGAGCTGTGAAGGTGTTGGGCCACATAGAAAATTCTCAATTTATATGATATCTGATATGTGTTGGCTTTTAGCAGTTCCCTTTTGACCGTCTTTCTTCTCATAAACTTCTAATGGAGCCTTTCTGATTTCTTCATATTTAAATCTTGCAAAAATCAAGCTCCAGTTTACATCTATTTATAGTAGGATCGCTGTTGCCTCTGCCTTATGTGAACCACATTTCTTTGCAATCAATAATATGGTTGCTAACCTTCGGTTTACTCTGAGAATTTAATTCTTGGCGAGTATTACCTAGTTTATTACACATGAGAAGGAAGGACCTGTGTTGCTTTGTCTCTTTCTCTTTGAGGTTGGCAAGGACGTAATAGGGGGCCATCTAGACTGCATTGTCAGAAGAGAAGTGCGGCGAAATACGGAGGAGTTGATTTCAATTTAACTTAGATTACTTGGAAGAGGACAGATTATGAGAATTATGAGAATCTCACTGCTGGAATGTTAGGATTCTACGGTATAGCTGAAGTGGCATGGCTTTTGAGCATTCCTTTTGAAAGGCCTTTTTTTCTTTATCGAATAATAATTTGAGTGTTCCACTTGGTCACTGATCTAAAGATTTCTGGGGTGGGATGTTTGTGAGATATTTGTCTGCTCGATACAGTTATTCGCCCTAGAAATGAATGCTTCATAACATTTTCTTTTTTTGTCTAATGAGGAAGAAATTCCAATTTTTGTATCTGCTAAGACTTGGCTTCACAAGCATGTTTGAGTTGATTTAGTGAAGCATTAATATACTGCTAATAAGGAAACTTGGGGATATATGAATCTGATATAAGTCCTAAGTTGTCCACTGCCAGATTGCTATACTCTTATCACAAACCAAATTTTCCTACCAAATGTTAGTGTTTATTTAAGTAGAGGCATTGTTGTGTTGATCATAGTGTCAATAATCTCATGTAGAGAGCATCTTTCTGAAATGCTCGACTGTTGAAAAAGAGAAGATTTATACATATTTTACAGTATTTTATATGTACTAAGGATGGCCAAAAACTTGTACATTTCTTTATTTAAAGTTGGTAATGAGATGTGGATGCTTTCTAAAACTTGTGGGATTACATGAACTATGCAGTTCCGGAGAAATAATAGTGCTGGGTCTGATTTTCATACGAGGAAAGGGGATAATATTCGCAAAAGTATTCTCTCTGTCTTTCCTGGAAATATGAGAACTTTTGATTGAGGGAAGAAGTTCTTTTCCAGCATTAGGTTATCCACTTGTATAGATTTCTTGTATTACTTACCATTAGATGAATATGGTGCATAATATGTGGCAACTTTTTAATGGATTCAGCACAGTGGTGCCTCTTTTTTTAATTTAAAAAAAAAAGCACAAAGTGGCAATTAAAAATAAGATGAATTTGTTAAGGACTTAACTTACTATTTGTCCTTTTCCTTCTGTCATGTCTTTCAAAAATGTATTGAGGACTGACAAACTCTTTGGGAACTAGCTTGATACTAATATTCCAACTACAGGAATAGAGATGTGTTTTTGAATTGAGCCAGGCTAATTTCAATCTGAAGAATGTTGTTTCAGAATATATTGCGGGCTTGATCTTGTTCTTTGGCTTGTCCAGTTGTATTTTTAACTTCAATTGAAATCACCCTATCCTGACAAAGAGGAAAAGAAAAGAAAGATCTTCTTGGTACTTTCAGATGAATACTGGGATCGGGATAATCTATTGCTGTTCTATTTTTCAATAAACATCTGTTTTTCTGTCACAAATTTATACAGTGTTAATCACATTGACTCTGAAACTGCATAGCTGGGAATGTCTTGAATGACACATTGCTCTATATATCTGCTAGTCTGATATATTTGATGCGGAAATCATCATTTACTTTTATGCTTTGTTATTGGGCTTGTAGTATTGGGTTAGCCCACGCCCATTCACTTTCTAGGTTTGTTGATTTCTATATTTATATGGCTTATATTGAACATGGAAAAATAGACGATGATGAATTAAATGAATTGTTCTTGGCTAGTTGCCTAAGCTTTCTCCTTCCCTTGCCTTCTACTTCGACCTCTTCTTCTCTGGGTTTCTTCCTCCTCCTCTCCTATTCTTCCCCCTTTCTTGCTGTCTTCTTCTCTTCCTCCCCGCTTCTTCTTCTTGCTCAGGTTATCTTCTCCTTTGCTGCTTATCTCCTCCTCTACTACTGCTTATAAGTTCTCTGCTGGAATACTTCAACTGATCCTACATCAATTTGGTATCAGAGCTAAACGTGGATTCAACAATCAAACTGAACAACTTCCCAACATCTTTACCGGTCTGCAACCTGTTATTCTGCTACACCAAACAAGCCACAAACAGCATCTAGTCGATGGTAACAAAACGAACACCTCACCTAATTTCACAGCACCAACAATCAACCCAATGCACTACTCAAAACCACTGTCCAACAACTCCCAGTGGCATCTTCATCAAATTCTAAAACCACTGCTGCAATGCACATACATACCACCTTCTACCCACCATCCCACCATCACTGTCCAGCAATAAGCCCACCACCGACAACGCTTACGCACACAAGCTTCAGACTAAGCTATAAAATCTGAGCAGTTGATATTCATCAGCAAACCCACCTTCATCTTAAATCGACCCAGTTAATCCATTCAGCCTCAGCTACCGATGCTTGTTCAAAAAAAAAAGAATAAAAAAAAAAAAATACCACAAAGGCCCATTTTCACAAACAATAACCACCACATGCACAATTTTGTAGTAGACGCCAGAAGGGCTGTCCACATAACACCCCACACCAACACCTCGCTCTACAAGCATTGCTACCATTATCACCCAAATCGACAACCTACGTAACCACCTTTGCTTCCACCACTGTAATCAAAGGCAACATCTACTACTTAAAACCCGTTATATACCCACACAGTCCTTTGCCTTGGCCCAACTCAAGTTAAACCATGCTCCTTATCTTCAAGCCCATGACAGCCCAATTCATCAATTCATCGTCTCCTGACCCTGATCCTTTTCCTTTCGCCAGCAGCATCCTCATCGCCGGCACGTTCGACCACCATACCCCTTCTCTTCGATAGCCTACTATACCACCCTACACTGATCGGCAATCGCGTTGCTACTTTGACTCACGTCATTAAACCCACCAACCCAGCGCCACCAATCACATTCACGCCTGTCGAACGTCGTCTTTTGCAAACAGTAACATGCCACTGCTCCTTGCTTTGCATCTATTTTGTTTTGCCTTGTTTTCTTAAGCGTCTTATTGAGCCTTAGTTAATGCCCTATTGTGCATTTAAGGCTCGAGTTACATCCTATTTTTTTACGTAAGGGTTGATTTGATTTATGTGAGGGTTAATTTGATTTTTGTTATATGTATTAAAAAAAAAAATGAATTCCTAACATCATTTACAGGTTATCTTTTATTTCTGTTAATTGACAACCACTCAGACGATTCAATTGCCGCCTATTACTGTAGTCATGCAAAATGGAAAATTGTGATTGGGGCATTGTTGGACTCTTTTGAGTCTCGTGAGGAAAGTCCCCATGCTACCTCCTTGTGCTCCTCATTGTGTTTTGTCCACTCAACAGAGTCGAGTTTTTTTTCACCACGGGAGAGTTGATGTGGACATCATTCTTTTATGTTTTGTTATTTGGCTTGTAGTATTGGGTTAGCCGAAGCTCATTCACTTTCTAGGTTTGTTGATTTCTATATTTATATAGCTTGTATGGAACATGGAAAAACAGTCGACGATGAATTAAATGAATTGTTATTGGCTTGTTGCCTAGGCTTTCTCCTTCCCTTGCCTTCTCTTTTGACCTCTTCTTCTCTGGGTTTTCCCTCCTCCTCTCCGGTTCTCCTCCCTTTTTTGCTGTCTTCTTCTTCTCTTCTTCCCTGCTTCTTCTTCTTGCTGCGGTTATCTTCTCCTTTGCTGCTTATCTTCTTCTCTACTACTGCTTATGAGTTCTCTGCTGGAATACTTCAACTGATTCTACATCAATACTGTTTCTTTGTTGTTTCAGAAGAAGAAAAGACATATGGATACGAGTCTCCGCAGTTTGATGTCTTCTCTGATTCTCGTTCCAATGAAGAGCTTGATGTTCAAGACACCTCTCCACATTCTGCACCTGCCATAGTCTCTAATATGACACAGAAAGGGGACTCTTCCCTGATTCAAGATTCTTCTGAAAATGAAAATAATATGACCATGATTCCTACAACCTCAAGTCTGGAAAGCACTACCGACATGACAAAGCGAGGTGATAGTATGGTCAAATCTGAAGTTTCTAATGAAACATTCAAGCAGGTCCTTATGATCGACTTACAGTGTACTCTGTGCAAGCAGCTATTGTGTCGACCTTTAGTTCTTAATTGTGGCCATGGTAAGTTATGCCATTGATTTGCATGTCATGTCAGGAAGAGTTCGTCAACAACACTTATCTGCTTATTGTCTTCCATTTTGCAGTTTATTGTGAAGCTTGTATAAATAACCAAGACAACAAGGTCTGCAGATGTCCAGTGTGTCAAAGTGTGCATCCAAATGGCTTCTCAAATGTTTGTTTGGTTTTAGAGCACTTCCTGGAGAAGCATTTCCCCGAGGAATATTCAGCAAGAAAAGTATCTTTACCTGACCAACAACATGCTAATCCATCTGGAAGTATGTTACTTTTCCTTTATCTTGTCAGTTGACATTGTGACTTGATACTTAGGTCTAAGACATTCAGATTCTATTTAATAAGCCATGTATGTTTAAGACACTTGTTCACTGGCACAAACATAACACGTGTACAGTTATCAAGGTCCTGATAATCAAGCTTGACCATTAATACAGCGAAGACAGACTACATGCTATTTAATTTGCCATTATGTGAAGTTCATGCAATTAATCTCATGCAGGTTTCAAGTTCCAAATATGGCTTCTATTCTGTTCTTCACAAACTATTAATTTCGTACGACTGCAATATTCAATCTTCTACAAAGCTTGTAGAATCACATGTGTGACTGAATATCATGCTTTATACTATATGGGCATAACACTCGTATGATCATATAGAAAGTAAATTGTTTTATATAGGAGAAGGGACACTATTTTGGCTTTCCTATAATTTCTCCATTGGGTATCTGTCTATGACAGCAAGAAGCTATTAAATGTTGAAGTTTGAACCTTATAGTGAATCAGTGATGTTTAGGTCTGTGTCGGGGTATTTGTTAGGACAGATACAGGTGTAATACTGAATAACGAACGGCTGGTACTCTTGTGAGTCTGTGATAGTGCTCCCCGCCAAATAACTGTCGTCTAATTTTGATGTTAAGTCAATATAACTATATGTTTGACTTTCTCCTTTTATACTGTACTACTGCCATCAGGTACGACTGGAAAGCTGGAGCAAGCCACCAAGTGTCCGTCATTGCCTGGAAATGCTTACTCATCACGGCTGTCTGGCCATAAGCCAAAGGTTCACCCTGCAGTTGGTTGTGATTGGTGTGGGGTAAAATGATTTTTCCCCCTTTTTTGAAACTTGACATTCACAAGGAAACGTCTAGTGAAAAATGGCTTGCTAATTTTCACATTTTTCCATGTATGTACTTTTTACAAGGCTTTTCTTTAGATTGGTTCTATCACCTAGTGCTTAATAAAGATTTCACACCAACCTTAGCATGTTTCCACGCAAAACAATGTGGAAAAGGTATTAATCTTATTTCCTTAGTTAGATTCTTCAACTTTAGAAGTCTGAGAATCAAGTTTCCAAATTTTACAACACCCCGAAACTTCGAAGTTTCGTGAACTTCAGCAACTTGTTTTGCATTTTGATTTCTTTTGTTCCTCGGTTTCTTCTTTTAGCAGAGTTTCATCACTTCAAGTATTATTTTTCTTTCATGGCTTCGGCGGTGGCTACCACCATATTCTTGATTTCCACAACCACTGCTGTGGCCATCATTAAACCCCCATCTCCACTTCCAGTGCCTCAAGCACCACAACTGTGAGCTGGCACCATCACAATAAGTCAATAACAATCTCTAAAAGGTGCAACAATCACTCTTTCAATTTCCACATTTCCCCTTTTCAATCTTGCAAAGTCTCCATCTCTAACCCCATTGATATGCCCAGTACCTAAAACCCATCTTCCCATCTAAATTCTAGATCAAGCTTTTATAAATATGATAAAGATGGTCCTTTTTAATTTGTGACTATATACAGAAAATATGCTTGCTTTGTTTAGTATTTTTTCTCATCACAATGGATTATCTCAACTTCTTGATTAATAAAAATATCAATGGCTTCTAGAATTTAAGGTAATGGGCACAATTTAAGAAGAAAATAACCATTAGGGTGTGTCTGTTGGTTCTTCTTCAGAGAATAGTTGGGAAGCTGTCGTTTTAGCTTACTTTCAATAATATACTGCTTTCCCAATGCAATTTACAGATTTGTATAGAAGACAGAAAATTTCCCCTGCTCTGTCAATGCCACCAGGCAGAACTTATGCATCAGAGCTAGTTTGCTCACGATCTTGCAATTCAAAGCATATAGTAGATGCTTTTATCTTTTTACTGAGACACTAATTTCACCGGAGTGATTTGCAATTTAATGCAGATGTATCCTATAATTGGGGAGCGATACAAATGCAAAGATTGTGTTGAGAAAATAGGCTTTGACCTCTGCGAAGGATGCTACAAGAGTCCCTTCAAGCTTCCAGGCCGATTCAACCAGCAGCATACTCCAGAACACCAGTTCGTGATCATGGAACCTGGTGAGTATGATATTGGTAGCCCAGACGATGCTGAAGAAGTTGTTACAGTCACCAACTTATCAAATGATGCTTCACAGGATGAAGTAGATAGTGTAGCACCTCTGAATTTGTCACCTGATGCTCTGCAGGATCTGGGAAATACTATAGCGTCTCTCGCTTTCTTCAACGACCCTTCAGAAGATCAAGATGGTAACAACTCTGGAACTTGAGATCGCGTTGCTAATGTGCTACACTTGATTGCTCGTCTGTGAAGGTATACGGAGAGTATTGAATAGTATTGAGGGAAAAGAAATAAAAAATAAACAAATATTTTGTCAACAGTACTATTTAGGAGCCTTACCAAGTACTACATACCAATCATACATAGAATGTACTTATGACGAGTTTCTCGAGTATTGCATCTGTTTAGTGACCATGTTGTCTTAAGATTAACATGTTTCCAACTTTTGGCATCGTTCGATGGTGTACTTTCCTGCTGCATCCGGTATTTGTTAGCATATATGCATTGATTAGCTTCCCGGTCTCGAGTTTTCTTCCTTTCCGTATTGTTCCGTCTCTGTTGCGGACACGACCAAGTGCCTCTACCTATCGCGCCTTATAAGCCTCACTGAGTGTGGGTCCTACATTTTCTGAGATTAGCCATGCACTCATTAGTCATTATAGCTTAAATTATGTTCAGGGAGCAATCTGAAATGGGGAAAAATAAATAAATAGTTACCCCATTCATGGAGTAGAAGAGTAAATAATTTGAAAAAGAATTGAATACAAGTTGCTTATGTTACTGGTAGAAGTCAGGAACCCTAAGATTTCAGCCAACCATTTGTAGAATTTGACAGTCTCGCTTTTGATGCCTATTACCAGAGTTGGTTTTGTTTCTGCGAACTGTCACCAAATTCAGTGAACTCTTACACAGTAAATTTTGTTTTGTGTTTCTAGCTTTTGGTTCTTTCTTGAAATTTATTGTGAATCGAAATGTTTATCCAAGATAGAGTATTTACATATATTGTAAAAATAAAATATAACTTAGGCTCCATTTGGTTTCAATTTTTTTCAAAATACATTTTTCTCTCTTCTTTTTTATCACACATTCTTTATTAAAATAATATTACACGTAAATAAAAAACTTCTCTTTATTTTTCAACTATACATTTTCCATCAATTTACTATTTAAAACTGCATTTTTACATAAAAATGACTTCCAAACACCCTCGTAAAAGAAGATTAGGACATGATCTAAGCTAAAAATAAAATATAATTTAAAGACGATTATTCGTGTTCTTTGTCATCATACATTGTGTAAACTGTTTTTTCAGTACAATCTTTGTTCATGCATATAACTACATTTTCAACTACATAAAATCCATTTCGTCTTACAATCCCTCAAAGAGTAAACAACCTAATTTGAATTTGAAGGCGTTGAAAATATTTTAAAATAAATAAATAGATTAATTCTCTAATACTTAATGATATGGTTTAACAGAATAGACATTGTCTAAATGATTCAGGCAATCGTAGACATTTTGTGGACGTGGTTTAATTGCACTAATCTTTTACGGTTATTTAATAAATGTAGAGACGTCACAAAATTTCATTTTTAGGTCGGCATCCATAGTCTATTGGTTTAGTACATCTCTCTTTTAAGGAGGTATGTACTACGAAAGGAAGTTGATCGTGTATTATCAATAAGCTTAAAGTGGATTGTTCCTAATTCAATGCTCGAGCGACTAACGGGGATGGACTGTAAATTCGTTTTTCATTGAAACTTTTTAGGAAAATGCCGGAGCGGGTTGGGGGTGGGAATTAAAAAAATTCTGTTTAAAATTATCGGTGTCTTATTATCATTAGTGCTAGATAGTATTATTTTGAAAACACAGGTAGTCCAAACGTTAGGGCCCAATTGTGTAAATTAGCCTTGCTTTTGCAACCTGAACTCATATCCGGACGTGAGAAAACTCTAAAATCCAGCGTGGACATGAGCGTGAAATAACATTTTATCCTTCTGGCGCGTGAAGGAGCTCTAAACTGACGTAATAGAAAGGAATCCAATGTTTTACTGTAGCGGCTAGTCCGAGAAAAGTCGGCTATGAATCATATCGCGAGATAATGACTATAAAATGTTTGTAACTTCCTGGAATTACTTTTGGTCAAATTTTATTTAATTTTTTATTTCACATCGCAATTTCCTTTATAGAAATTTTGAAATTTATGAGTTCTAAAAATACAAGTGGGCCTTTGAATCGCATGGTACGTTGGAGTTTTAGGGGGTGTTTAATAGACATTTTTATGTAAAAATACATTTTAAAATAGTAAATTGATGTGAAATGTGTGGTTAAAAAATAAGGAAAATTTTTTATTTACGTTAATATTATTTTAATAAAGAATGTGTGGTTGAAAAAAAAAGAGAAAAATGCATTTTGAAAAAAATGGCTACCAAATGGGGCCTTAAACAAGTCGAGTTGAATTGTTCGGCTCATCCACCATCAGGTTTAGACTTACTTGTCACTTGTCGCTCATTTTTTCTTTTTGTAAATAATTAAAATTTATATTTTCTTCATTAAGTATGATAAAGATGTGAATTTGTAAAGAAATTATGAACATAATGTTCTATTTTTTCAAAAAAAAATTGTTAAAATATTTATAAATTTAAAAATCCTCCTCATTTATCTGAACTCTTGGTCAATTGCATATTATGGAGTTAAAATTGTACACGAATTAATATTTCGTGCACAACTTTTTTTAATAAAAATTGAAATAAATACAAAATAATAACAATAAAAGAAAAGAGTGATTCTTTACAAAATTGCATTTTGTATATGATTACAAATGGAAACGGTGCAGAAAGGTCATCTCATCTTTTATCACTAGCGCAAACAAACATGTTTCTATATTGGGGTTATAATTTTGCCCAAGCACATGATGTATGTCAAGCATTAAATTTGCATGAATAGGAAATAAGTTTTAGGTAATTGAATTATTTAGAACTTATTTGAATAAAAATTGTCAATTAAATATGTTTGATTGTTTTAACTTTCAATCTAGAAGTGTAGTAATTTTTCATCTTTTATTGGTGGGTAGATAAGGATAAAACTCTGTGTACAGAACTTTTTTTTATAGAGGTCTTACCGATCCATCACATGGGGTCGATTCCACGTGGGTCCCGATATAATAAAAAATGAAGAAAAAAATCCTAGCCCCTCCTCTTTGTGAGAATCCTGTAAGGGTTCTGTAATGTGCTGGGCGTAGGGTAGATAAAAGAGATAAGTAGAAAGTTTTGGAAAGTGTGAATTGGAAAATATTTCAACAATTCCCCTTGTACAGGAGAATTAGCAACCAGAATTTTTACACTGTTTGGTCCATCCTTTTATTTTTTGCCATTTTTAATAGAGAATGGTCAAGTGTTATTTGTAGCAATTCTGACAACTTTTTTCTGTACGCATAGCAACTCTCAAAATATTTTACTTACCCCTTCACAAAGAAAATATTTTTTATATTTTTGAGGAAAACATTGTCAAGTGACCAACTTTTGAAAAATATTTTTCATTAAAAAATGACAATCAAACACCCTAAATATAGGAACTTGAGTGAAAAAAGAATATTTTCCATGAAAAATAAAATCAATCAAATACACCTACAGTGTTGATGAAGTCACTAGTACTATAAACAAGTCTTGGGTTACACCGGACATTATCGGGTAACGGTTCTATTGTGCATTTTACCATTGAAGTATATTAAAGATGTAGGCCACTACCATTATCTATTCTAACGAAGTTACCTACCTTTCAAATTCAGGAAAAAATTAATTTGTTTAGTTTGAACTGGAGTACTAATTATTAATAATTTTTTCTCATGTAGCGAGGATATATTTATTTTAAATGTAAAGTATAATTTATTTTAAAATAATTGAAAATAATATTTTGCTTCGATTAATTTGAGACGACGATCAAACACTATAGCTAGAAAATAATTGGTATGATGAAAAATGTTGTTGAAGGTGTTTTTAATCACAACACATATTTGGATAAAGGGAAATTTTCATCCCTGCATTGTAGGGAGACTAAAGAAATGTTTAATAATGATGGTAAAATCAAATCTAGATTGAGGAAATGTGATTTATATTGCATAGAAGATGAAAATATGTTTAAAATATTATAAATAAATTGAATATATTCCAATTATCATTAGTCAAATTATCTTCAATTAAAAATAAACACAAAAGTAGTTATCTGATTTCTATAACGAATCAAAGTTATAAGACTATTATTATTCTGCTAGAAGGTATCATGAGGAAAATTTAAGTGAAAGAGGTGTTTATGCCACCTCCCCAATAATATTAAATGTAAATCGAAAACTTTTCTTTCTTTCTTAACCACTCATTCTCCAAAAAATATAATTCCACCCATTATATTTCGAAGTAATGGGCCCAAACGGGGGCATAGTCATTATGATGTGAACCCGCATAGCAATAGTTGTTACGAAACCCACACCAGATTGATTCAAACCCAAGAAAGTCAAGAATCAACATTTAGAGTTTGACCCAAAAATATTGAATCAAGTAACCAACACAACCGCCGACAATACGTCCCTTGATTGAATCTCACTCGATTTGTTTGAAAGCTCAACTCGATAAATTATTGAACCTAAGAACCAAGACAATCGTAAATAATATCTTGACCACGTGATCACAAAACTTACGAACCTTATTTAGATTGTTGAATGTCACAAAGAGTGTGAATCTTTGATAAGTTCGGATAGTTTAAACGTTACAAATATTAAAAATATTTGATAAGTTCTGTTCAATTAAGAACAAGACAGAAATTAAAAAAAAAATTCACATTATGATTAATTCTCAAAAAAAAATTAATGTCTTTGTTGTACAATGAATTGTGCCTTTTATATGCATAAAATAAACTCCTAATCAAAATACAACTCTAATTCTAAACACAAATCCAATTAAATTAAAAAACTATGAAAAAAATTGAATAGAACTAACATATTACAAATAACGAAAATACCCTTGAACTAATTCAAAATATAAAAACACAAAAATAGACCCCCTAAACAATCGAATTTGACCCCAAAAGTTTGACAAAGTTATCCGACAAACTGTGCAGAATCTAAACACAATTTCAAATTGTACTCATGGACGAAAATCTGATAACTGAGCTGAAAGTTATATGCATTTTTATACATCCTCTGCGTTTTCGCACATACTTCATATTCCTTCCATTTTCTAATTTGTTTAGAATCTTCTCTTCTAATTAATCTGTACCACTCCAGAACATGCAATAAATCATTATTAGTTTGCCCCTCCATGATTCTCATCATTCTCTCTCTTCAAGAAGATTCGCCCTCAAATCTTGAGATTGAAAATGAATATGTTTTTCCTCTGGAACTTTATTCATTTTTTCACTAAACTGTGCAGAATCTAAACACAATTTCAAATTGTACTCATGGACGAAAGTCTGATAACTGAGCTGAAAGTTATATGCATTTTTATACATCCTCTGCGTTTTCGC